GGTTCCTGGTGGGTGTCCCAGTCATCTCCTTTGCGGGGAGATGGTTCTGAAGAGCTGGATCCTTTGTTGGCTCCTCTTAACCGCCGTGGCCATCGGCTCCACAAAAACGGAGCCATATTCAATCCACCATTACTCCCCTGGAAGCCCCCATATGAGGGCATGTCATATCTTGGTCTACTTCAAATGTCAGTCTGCTGTTGGCTTCTCGGATACATGAAAGGAGAACTAAAAAAGAGAAAAAGAAGCCATTTCTTCTGCATCCTATCTTATTTTTAAAAAATACATTCTTAAAGTCTGTTGTTTAATATGCAAGTATGTTTAAAGATTTGAGTAGAGCTATACAGGTGTGAGGATGTTGCAGTCAAGTTAGGAGCAGACTACATTTTCTGCTACACTCATTTACTTGTATGGACAAAGTTAACTGGCAAAATTGCATCATCCAGAAAGTTTTGACTAAGAATAGACCTACTTCAGAAAGCTACTCTTTGAGTGGCTGACATTTATATTAGTGGGTCAAAAAGCAAAAACCTGCACTTGAAGTAAAATGGTGAATTTGGTTAGTCTTTCTAACAGCCTAATACTGGGGATGGAATCTGGTTTCCAATGAGCAGAATCTGGTTTCCAAGAGGTGGGCAATATGTGTCTATACATTAATATGCATCCATTCTGAGGTTCCTCTCTCCACATTTGCCCATCATATTTGAAGACATTGCATCAATTATAATTAACATTAACATGTTCTTATACTTTGGGGTTTTAGGCATCACACAATGAAAACATTAAAAAAAAATTGTCATTACTTCTACAATAGATTTTTTTGTAAAGATTGTGATGCTCAGCACCGAAGGATTGGTTGCTAAGAAAAAGACACGTCTGCTGAAGTCTACTAACAGTCAAGTAAAATGGGGAGAAACTCTGATATTCCCAGTGAGCCAGAATGAACATGGAATAAACTTTCTCATCAAACTCTACAGTAGGAGCTCAGTGAGAAGAAAACACTTTCTGGGACAGGTTGGTTTTTTTTCACCTATCACACCCAATACAGAAGTACTGAATTCCAAAACTTAAAGTTTACGTGGATCATAGGCTTTGCTTTTTAACAAAAATTATTTCCATTAATATAATCCTTGCTGAAATAAAGCAGGGATAGGAAGCCTGTAGCCCTCTGAATATTGTGTGGGCAGTAGTGAACAATGGTGGGAGTTAATGTTCAGCAATTTCAGATGGGGGCTCGCACCAGTGGAGGCCAGATGGGGGCTCGCACCAGTGGAGGTGGCTTGTGGGGTGATTGACCTTGCCCCCCCCATCATCTTGAATGTTTTTAGTATTTATGTACACGGTTTGTTGTCTGTATTTGATTTTTAATGGATTAATTTAACTATTTATGGGCTATTTTTAATTGTTGATGGGATTTATGATTTTAACTGTGAGCCACCCAGAGTCACCCATTGGGGGGAGATGGGTGGCATACAAATTTAATAATAAAATAAATAAATAAATAAATAATTCTTTAGAAACCTTTGAAATACAGATTTAATTTCAAGGCTAGATTCTTTAAAATGTTTGTTTCATTCTGAATAAATAAGTAATTTTATATCATAAGTAATTTCCTCTTATGCAACTTTATATCAGAGATCTCAAATTTATAACTCAAAGAATTGTCAAGAGGTATAAATTTCCATTCCATTCCATAAATTTTCAGGAGGTATACATTTGTGAATGGTTCAAAAGCCACATCCATTTATTTATCCATCAATCACCAAACTATAGATAGTATGTTTAATTCAATAAAGCTAAATTTTGAAGCTAAGTTATTTGTGGATTATACAGATGACACAAAATTAAATGGGATATCTAATAACCTGGAAGATAGAAATGAAATTCCAAACAATCTTGAAAGGCCAGAAAAATCACTGTAAGTAGGAGGATGTAATTTTACAAAACAAAGGTAAAGTACTATTAGGAAACAAAGACCATATGCTCAGAGGGTATCAGGCTTGGAATCATAGTTGACTGCAATTTGAAGTTGTATCAGCATAAATTTCCAGATCATGGGAGGTAAAAAGTCTGCTTCAGAGTCCTAAAAAAATAAAAGACAACATATTCCTGTTGGAATCCATTTTTAATAAAATGCATGTTTTTTATCAGCCCATGATGTCATTCATCTTAGCATCTTCTCTGCTCTTGATTCATCCTCTGCATTGTATAAACATATTTGTTTATACACTGATCAAGGTAAATGTCAAAAACAGCTTCTTTGTAATGATTCCTTGTTTTTTTTTATCATGCAGGTTTGGCTAAGCAGTGACAGCAACAGTGCTGAAGCTGCTGATCAATGGAGGGACACAGTTGCTAATCCAGAGAAGGTTGTGGTTAAATGGCATAACATCAGTCCAGCGTGATACTGCTTTGAACAGTCATTTTGGTACTGATTTGGACTTGAGCCCAGAGACTTTTGCACTTATTTAAAATAAACAGCCATCAGATAACAAGAAAAGAAAAGAAGCACCTACATGGACCATGTACAATATCATCTCTGAACAAGAAAATCACAGAGGAAACAGTAGTGTTGAAAAAGGAAGCATAGTATGTGGAATTCAAAAGCCACACTGAAAAATTAGTGGCTTGATTACTAATTGACTGTTTTAAAAAATCTATCAAGCTTACATATAAAACTTTTTAATATTTATACTCTATAAGAAAAATTAATTTAAAAACTTTGTATAGATTTTAGTCAAAAATACCATGGGAGAGCTTTCCTTCAGAAAGACTTAGTTCCATGTATTACAGTAGTTGACAACCATGCTTCAGCTCTTACGTTACTTCTAAAAGTATTCCATGGACACTTTATTATTTCTAAATACATGTTGAACAAGTGAGGTAAGGTAGGCAGAGAGGTAGAACTAATATTTTACCATTTAAATTCTTGAAATAAACACTTTAAAGTAATTTTTAAGAATGGTTGTTGTTGTGTTGGATAGTAAATTTGAAGGGTAGGCTGGGAAATCACTATTCCTGTTTTATATAAAATATTTACATTTGTTGTTGTCCCATCTTACTGTTCTGCAGCATAAAATTTGCTTTATTGTTTCGAGCAGAGAGATTAGTAAGAAGTACTCCAATGGTGAAGTTCAGAAGAATCTGATCTGCTACTTAAAGGTAGCAGGGACCCAGTATTCCATGTTTTAGGAAAACTAAAGTTACCAGTCCTTATAAAATGAAAGAAACAAAGCAAAGTGCGCAAGCATGATTCTAGCCAATCACTTTGAGAAATGAGCACATACCTTTCAGTGTTTTAAGATAACATGTTAAGAAATTATAAGGGCAAATGAAGCTCATATGGGTAACTAATCCATGAATAGCTCAGCTGGCATCATATAGGAGATTTGTAGAATCCCCAGATCTGGAGCATCTATGACATAATCAAGCAGGTGCCCTGACTACTTACTAGAGATGAAGCATTTTTAAGGCACAAGGGTCTGCATATGTTCATTATGATTTAGTGTCTTGACAACTGAGATGTTTGACAATAAAGTTGGTGATACTTGAAATAGGCACTACACAGCAGGATAATCCATACAAAAAAAAAAAAAAAAGATCAGTAACATCTGAAATAAACTTTCATGGGGATTTGAAATGCAGCATGATTTAACTTGCATGGCTTCATTGCCTCTTTCATTAGATTAACAGTTCACATTGAGCTTTCAATAAAAAGGATTCAGTTTGCTACAAAGCTGTTGCCATGTGAACTTGGAAGGGCACATTTAACATGTGAATCCTCATGCTGATGGCTGCCTCATGAATATTTATTCCTGTTTCTCATAACAACTAAGGATATACGGGATGTTTATATGCAATGAACAGAAATGCTTGGACCATTTGAAACCATACGTAATTATAACTCTTGTAGTAGAATTCCAGCATATGGATATCTTTTATAGATCATTAAACTTCAGAAACTATAACTCTCTCTGATATCTCTGATAAAAACGTTAGGAATTGGTGCAGGCAGTGTTACACTATTTTAAAATGTACTGGTTTTAAAAAGGACAAAACTTGTATCTGGACCCCCCGTTTCAGTGAGACTTGACTGGTGTTGGTGCATGAAACAGAATGCCCTAAGTGCATAATGAACTGAATGAGAAAATATAGTGGTAGAGCTATTAGCTGGAAAAATTCAGATTTTTGTGAGGAAGGAGGAAAAAAAACCATACTGCAGAATGTCAGTATGAAAAAGCAAAGGTCAGAAGAGAGGAAGAATGAATTAAGGGAAAAAATCAAACTAAAAGCAGCACCACTAATAAAAACAAGTAAAGAATAAAGAGAACATAAAACTGGAGAAGACATGGAACCACCTTAGCCCAGAACAAAGAAATCAGGAATAGTTCAGAAAAAAATGCCATCTCTTTGTATCTTCAAAGATTATAATTAGGTAGCAAAGATTTTGATATATGCATTAAATGCTAACATACTTTGATTTAAATCTGGGAGAGCAAATGAGATAGCAGGAGATATAGTGGCCAGTCCTTCTGAGGAACACTGGTCCTCAATCCAGGAGTCAGTAGAAACGAACGGGTATGACTATCATAGATAGAAACTTGTGGCTTGCAATGCATTCGATATAGTCACTGTACCCTTGAAAAAAATGGATTGTTAAGAGTTGCATTACAAATGTAAATCAAAATTTGTTTTAAATATCCTACAGTTTCTTTGTTAAGCCTTTTTTTAACAGCATACTTTATGAGCATCCAGTTCATGGTAAAGGTGGTGTTACTCTGTCATTGTAAAAACCATTTCCCTATTGCAAACTAATTGGTAAAAAGAACAAGAGGTTTTTTTAAGCAAAATAAACGCATTTGGAAAATAAATTATGAGCAAAGCTGCTTTAACAGTCTTGATACAGTACTTTATTTCCTCTTTTTCTTCTTTCTCTCTTTAATAAGCATTGTACATGCTGTGTAGTAGGGTAAATGCAAATCTTATTGAGGGCTTCGTGCAATAACATTCTTAGGGAGCTCAGATTAAAATGTCAGGATATATAGAAGTTCTACAGCATTTATAGTACTGCAATACACAAATGACCAGATGTTTTATTATATAACTGTGAAGCAATTATATAAATAGATTCTAGCCTAACTTTGCCTTCCAGCTTTGGACTTGATCTTTCTAACAAAAGTCTCCAGCCAAAGATATTTATCTTGCTTTTGCAAAGTATAGAAATATTTTTCTGTAAAGGAATTGCACATATGCATATGCACACACACAGAGAGACTATTTTATTGAATAAAACTCAGGCAAAGGGGAAAAAGTCTGTCCTTCTCAGAGCTTCCTGATGACGGTTTGAAGCTGAGTATCCCAGAATTTCACATTATGCAACACGCTGGGCCTCATGCCAGGACTTTGTTTAAGAAGGGTGTGAAATGAATTGACCAACAAGCTGGTGATGCCAAATGCTAACAGTGACATCACAGTTAATCTACCTCATGAAGAATCCCAGATCCAGGCACAGATGTACAGTGCACTTGAAGTCTTCTTATTAACCCACATGCTGATTTTATTGACAATTATCTCTATTGCCTGGGCTTATTGCTGGTTAATTACTAGAAAGCTAGCACAGTATACTTTCTTGTATGAATAGTTAACAGCAATTCTGTAGGCACTTACAATCTTCTGAGGTTAACCTGCTTTTTACAGCCCAGTTTGTAGACTGCTACATATGGCAAGATAGGCTTCTTCAAATCAGCACCCAGCCTTAGAAATGATCTTTCTCCTGTGGTATGCTGGACCACTATCACTGATACATTTTAAACCTCTTTTGAAAACTCTTTATTTTAAGTTGGCCTTTCCATATTACTTGTTTTCATTTCAGTTTTTTAAATTGTAAGATGTTTTAAAATGAAAAGCAGTACTTTTCATATACTTCATTTTGCTAAAATTGGGACAATTCTGAAAATTAATGAGTTGAGAATTATATCAAAAGTTTTTACGTTCTAACTTATGAGCTGATTAGTCACTCATCACTACATTATTATGATGATTTATGTCTATAGGTGAAGCTATAAAATTTTCCAGTTAGTCTTGCAAGATGTTACCTGAATCATCTCATCAGATCCCAATTTAGCTATGAGGGAATATGAGCAATTTTATCTGAAAACAATCTCAAATATGTGGTAGCAGTCAGTAGGAAGATCATCTTCCCTGTTTTTACCCCCAAAATAAGAATCATCTTAAGGATACTGGACAGGAACATGCAGGTGCAGTAAGAGCACAGAAGTAATAACATTACTCTTACCGGCATGGTATATTCATTTCTTTGATCACATTCACTCTTTGTTTTATACCACCCCTGCTTCAGCTATTTCATTCCCTGGAGCTCCTTAGAAAACCAAGGAGCCCTTGAGATCTGCAAATGAGGAGAGACCACTTGAGGGGACAATTTCACCCAATGCTCTCCAGAGCAAGAATTCCAGAGCATGACTAGGGATATGGTAAGTCTGCCTACCTGATTTCTGTGGAAATCCCCAAGGACCCTCAAAAACTCAAGCTCCATCAAGTGCTTGGGGCGGATCACAGTAATCAGTCCAGTTCTATTCCTGTGGAGGTTGAGCATAGAGACAATATGCACAAATAGGGCCTGTCCCATATGATCTTAAACACAACCAAACCTACATTCAAGGCATGGAGATTGAAGTTGTCAACCCTAGAAGTCTGGAAGATTCCAACATCAGACCAGATATGAGCTCCAGAAGCTGATGCATGGCTGCTGCCAGCCAGCCACAGTTAGACTTGTCCTTCAACCCAAACTGCACATGCAAATAACTCACACTTGGTCATCCATGGGGCAGTGCTTCTAGTTACAACCAAGGTCTCACTAAAAAAGAAAAAGAAAACATTGCCATGTTCCCTCCCTAACCATGGAGTCATGGTTGTTCCAGATCTGAAATATAGGAAAGTATGTTTTGGACAGGGTAATATACGCATCCCCACTCAACCAGGTATTTGTCATACAGGCCAAGTCCTCACATTCCACTTCCATGAAGTTGTGGATGGATGTGCTCTAGCATTAGTATTTTTATTTGGTATGTACCTTTATCTACTGTAAATGCAGTACAAGATCTGCTTTTTTCCCCCACACAAACCCACCTGATGATGTAGGCTGGGCTGAGAAAGAATGACTGGCCCAAAGTCACCCAGTGAGCTTCCATGTTGCAGTCTGATACCTTAACCACTATACCACATTAGCTCTGATATTAACTAGTAACAGTTGGAGACCAAGACAACCATAACCCAGTGATCAGAGTGGAGGCCCCCCCCTCTCCTATAACAGCCCAATACCTCCCATCATATCTCTCATTGTTCACAGGAACAGGAGGGATTTAGTGGAAAAAATCCTTTGCTCTCTTCCTCACTTGCCACCACATCAACCCCACAGAAAATGCTTTACAATAAATAATTCCGTTTTATGGATCTTTGCCCCAGTGACAAAACATCAAGATAAACAGTTAAACATGCTGGTGAATTAAGCATTTGTGTGTAAGGAAAAGCTAACTGCAGCTTTTTAAATTTAATTTACTCATCATCAGCTAAAGCTGATACAAAGGCATTGCATGCCAAAGGTTAAGCCCTGGAGGGAAATAATTATGAAGAAATGTTGCTGTTTTAGCAGTGTTCTGGCTGAAGTAGTCCTCAAATAATAAGACCAAACCCAGTTTTGGAAATAATATAAAAATGAATATACATTTCTATATTGGCAGAGACCCAGCTAATTGAAAAGTGAACTTATAAACAAATGTAAACTTGGCTTTTAGTTGGAGTTGATTACATAGGAAATCAGGGTTTTTTTTAAAAAAAAGTTATCCTGTTTACACTGAGCTGCATTCGCTGGTTTAATGCACATTTCTCTAGTTATATGAGATTCTTTTATCATTCTTCACTAAATGACAAAGTAAAGGCTAGTGAAGAATAACTACATGACTAATTGGGTGGAGTCACTTTAGCCCCAAGCAAACACAAGTTTGTTTTAGTCCAAACAAACTTTTGTTTGTCTGGGACTAAAGTAACTTCACCTGGTAACCCCATCAGGGTCACTTGACAGGGTCAATTGGCCATGTTAGAGTATTTGCATAATACATCACTCTCTTTTCTATGGTCCAGTTAACCATAGAAACAACAAGAATGCGAACAGGGCCATGACTACTTGCATCATCTTTATCTGCACGCTTTTTTACACTGACAGGGTTCGTACATTTCAGTAAACCATGGTTTAGCCATGATTTGCTAAAGAAAACACAATTGGTTGTTTATGTATTCCACTAAAGCTAAGAGCAACAGTAGAAATACAATTTATATAGTGCACATCAGCAGTTTCCCTATTTAAAAGCTGTGTGGAATATCCAGGATTTTAAACCTTAGTTAAAAATATTCAGCAAGAATCCTTCCAACTTTTTTTAAAACACACACAAAAATATATTTAGAAAGAGTACACTGTATTTTGCTGCCACAAAGTGTTTATAGTTGAGAACAACAATATTGATATTGGATGTGTGTGCTTCTTGTTAGAATATTTAGCAAAAGTAACGCCATTGTAGAGGGGAAGGAATAGGAACAGCATCTGAGCGAGGTGAGAGCATCACATAGACTTGAGTGGCTGTAAGATGAAGAAGCAAGTCATCAGCTAAAAAGTAGACAAAGACATTCCTAAGGAAGTTTGTGCCTAATGTTATATGCATACTAAAAAGATACAAAGTAAAGTATAAAGGGGGCTATTTGGCAGTGGTCCTGCGTGGCCCGCGCCCAAACCCACTTACTTGCTGTACTTGGGCTTTTTCCGACATCTTCTTTCCCAGCTTGGAACCAAACATATCATGCCCAAAATACTGTACCATTTTGTTACTTGTGCTCTCTGCCAATTTACCAATTTAGTTCCAGGCATTTGAATGAGACATCTTTCTGCTTGTCCAGCTACGCTCAAAAGATTGGTGACAAATTATTTTCCTTTCCTTTTTCCTTTTTTTTTTTTTTTCTTTTTGGTTAAACTCTGAAAATGGAATCCTTATGGCATCTTATGTAGTTGACTATCTTAAGTGTGTGCAACATGTTTAATACCTGCCACTGGTGTTTAAGGGATCAAGCCAGGGAAGGTGCCAAAGATATTAGAAAAGGGGCTTCAAAGCCACGAACAGGATGCACGTCAGAGCATACAGACAAAGCTCTCTTGCAAAGGATCACAGAAGGACCAGAAGAAGGTGACCTTCTGGGCTCCAGATCTCACCCAGCC